TAAGGGATATAATTGAGGAGGCGATATTAGTGGACTTTAATGTCGTTTCTTTGTATTTTCAGGTAAAGTGTAATTGTCATAATTAAACGATAATTGTTATAATATTGTAATGGCGTGTCTAGTAAAATAAATCTTTGTATTTTCAGAGAAACAAATAGTGGTTTGCTTTGAGTGCCCTTGATAATATTCCTTATATTTATAATTCAAAATGAGGGTCGAAGCTGTTGGTGGAGCGTCTGTTACGACGTGGTCTGCGGACGAGAGGAAACCTTCTATGAAGAGAAGTGTATGTAGCTGATGTACAATAGTAGTGTGACGGTATGTACTGTTGAATATTTAATATTATTATTTTTAAATTATGTAGGCTGAATATTTATGAGTTCAATACTTTTATTTCTTATTAACTGACGCTTCCGACACGTCATAATGATTAAATAAATAAATAAAGATAGTATGTTAATCAATTATTAAAAGTTTATTTATATAAAATACTAGCTGACCGGGCGAACTTCGTTAAAGTAGGTACACTAAGAAATGGTAAATGTAATGGTAATAATTACGTAGATATTTTGATAATATATCTCCGTCCACAGACCAACTCCGACCCGATATATTTGCAAAGAGTATGTTTATATAGTATTGTTAATTAAATGCTTTTTTATATTTATCAAATACTTAACTTGTTTCTTGAAAAACTTTAACTTTGGAATCGAACTAGAGAAACTGATACAAGGAGCTTACCCTCGGTATCCCAGTAACGCCTGAGCCTAGACCTAGACTTAAACCTAGCTGTCTAGATTTATACCTAGTCTAAATGTTTTAGTTAATTATATTTTGTAATTAAGTAGTTCACGTCTTGTTTTATTTATTGTCTGTAAATAATTTAGACGTGACACCACACCCTAAAATATATCTGAGTCATTATTACGTCTACTAGTAGGTAGGAACATAAATTATTTTTAAATATTTTCCAAACGCTGTATTGGGCGAAGGCTTATTAATTTTATAGTTTCTTAAATTCGTTATTATTTTTATTCTTTTATACTTGTTTTATCAAAACGACAACGAACATACGTACTATCTTTTATAAAACGAATTATTTATTAGGAAGTGGACAGTCTTTATATGTAAGGTTTTTGTAACGTTCCAGGACTCGTGAGAATATATAATTCAAGATGAGGGTCGAAGCTGTTGGTGGAGCGTCTGTTAGGACGTGGTCTGCGGACGAGAGGAAACCTTCTATGAAGAGAAGTGTATGTAGCTGATGTACGATAGTAGTGTGACGGTATGTACTGTTGAATATTTAATATTATTCTGTTATTATTCAGAGTTAGGTTGAACTATTTTACTGTCCATTTAATCACTTTTATTATTACGTATTACATTAATTGAACGTTTCTGACACAATGATGTCACCCGTGATATTGTTATTTGAAGAAATGCAATAAAAGAAATATTATCAATTTTTTCAAATTAAAAGTAACCTCACTAACTGTTTAATACTATCTTAAATAATTCACAATACTAAGTATTTTAAGTAGCTCCTTATTGTTATTCGATTGTTTCCAACACATCCATACGTTATGGCTTACTGATTTACAGAAAATATTTCTAACGCTTGTTTCTTAGCTTCACTTGTATGTTGGTTTATATTTTTGTAACTTATTCCTGAAATAAATAATAGTAATTACTCCGTCCGCGTGTACATCACAGTTGTTCTCTGTCACTATGGCCACTGAACCTGAACTGCTTCCACTTCATGGTTCCATCCGTGTAGTTTCGTGATCGGGTAATCGGGGTCATCTATCTTCATACAAAATTCATCACAATCGGTTCAACGGTTTAGTCGTGAAAACGTACTCGTAACATACAGATAGACAGACAGTTACTTGCCCATTTATAATATTAAGAGGGATTTGGAAAATAATTGCTATCGCTTATAAAAATCAGGCAATTCATTATACAAAAAAGGAAAACATATCTGTTGTTAGGAAAATAAAAACATGGAAAATAAATTAATGTAAAAAACAGTGTTATGAAATACCATACTACAAAGTTATTTTTATTAAATAATTTATATTAAAGAGGAATGCTAAATGAAAGAAGTTAACTTAATTTAAAAAAGCGCGATGTATCTTTAGACTTTAGAATATAACGGTACACTTATAAATATCAAGTCGTGAGAGGCGAGTGTACACCGTGGGAAAGAGTACGTATCCATGTGTTTGAGCCTAAAATGAAGAGAATTGCTCACATGTACCAACATAGTACACATCTGCCTTATATGGCTTAACTAGCTTTCCGCCCGCGGCTTCACCCGCGTCGAGTACGGTTATATCGCGTTTCCAAGAGAACTTTTCAAAAGTCTGGGATAAAAAACTATCCTATTTCTTTCTCAAGGTCAACTCTATATCCGTACCAAATTTCATTAAAATCAGTTCAGTGGTTTAGGCGTGAAAGCGTAACAGACAGACAGACAGACAGAGTTATTTTCGCATTTATAATATTAGTTTATAATATAAGTACGGTTTAACAGAATAGTAATATCTAGCACTCCGCGAACTTTAACACCAAAAGAATCCCTTTTCTGATCATAATATTTTTAATCTGAATTAAGTATAAAAAATTAGATCTTTTTAGATTTGTACGTTTTTTTATTATTTTTTTTTGTATGCTAGTCCCTCTGTCGTGGTCAGAGACCTTTGTTCTTCGACACTTTCATGCTAGTTCTCTCTTTTGCTAGGGCCTTTCATTCCTCATACTATCTTTCTGTCATACATCTCTTTCATTCCTGGGTTATACGGTATACCTTTCCTATCGTGTTCCTGACTTCTATACTATTGTACTACTTTTGCATTGGGATGTTTGGGAAGTTTATTTTCATCTTTTATTTCTTATTACATTGTCCTTGATGACTTTTCATACATTTCCAGTTTACTCTTATCAATTGCGAGAATTCTATTTTACAATTTATTTTTCATTTTTCACTATTTACAATTATTTGCCCTAATCCTATTTACATTTTACATTTATCTTAATTTTTACATTACATTTAAGTAACGACATATTTAACATTTTAACATTAAGTATATTTAATGTTTGGTCATTCATTGTTATTTAAATGACTACATTGTATTGTTATTCTATTTCAGGAGTTCCGCCGACCAGGAGCTCGTGTGTTTGCTCTTCCTTGCGGATTGTTCCGGACTCCATACTGTCACTGACTCCATACTCAATCTGCCACACAGCGGATCTGGTGCTGCTGGTGAGTGTTCTCCTATTAACCTTCGATTCCTTAGCCATTAAGTCATTTACGGTTTGGTTCCTGCACCTTTGAGAGCACCTCCTCCAAACATTAGATTGCTATTTTATAAGCGAGTATTATTGTAAATTTTTTAAATATTTAATTATTTATTTTAAGCCAATCCTTGTAGTGTCTGTTTTTGTATGTCTTTATATAAGAACAATATTGTATTATGTATTACAGATGGTGTTATTGGACTGTACTTGAGATTCATCCATCAGGAGATGACGGCTGATCATCAAGTGTTAGATGAAAACTAACAATGAACCAAGTATTGATGAAACATATGTAGAATTATATGAAGAGGAGAATGACTCGGTTAGTGTAACATATTAGAATAGAGAAGACTTGAAGTATCAACTGTAGCAGTCTCCAGACAATATAAGGAGTGTGTTCACTATAAACATGTACAGTACGTGTTTGATGTGTCTATTGATATCAAAGAACCTCCTGGAATGTACGTATACATAGAAAGATAATTAATTTTAATTTATTTAAAACAATTTTGTATTTGCACATCTTATTCTCTAACAACCATTAACATAACTAAGTCTTAGCGGTTCAATGAAGTATGCAGTATAGAATTTAGTAACAACGAGAGATATAAGAGTGGTGGATAAGATAGACTGCTTTACTTTTTGATTGTTTAAAACCAGGCCACTTAATGAAGTGTTCAAAGTATACATGTTTGTTGTCCATACATTTGTATAGAGCTCTCCTACAGAAACATCTTCCTCAATCAAAGTACTCATAGTTTCACTACCGTCGTACGTTTTCACTACATGGTCTGTCCATTGATCATGAAATACATGTTTATTTAAATGAATAAGACTCGCGACAATCTTATATCTCTTTACTTACATGTTTGTGTTAAAATACATATAAAGGTAATTGTAAAATAAGTAAATTAAATGATATTCAAACGAGTCTTTGTATAGGACGCCACGTGTTAAGACTGATAACAATATTAAAATATTTAATGAAGGCTAATTCTAAAACGGATGTTTGTAGTGTAGATGACTGAGGTGTTCTGTTCGTGTTTTATAATATCTAACCTCCATCCAGGGGGGTTTCTCGTCGGCCGTTATGGCTGTCCCTTGACCCTGTCCCCGATGAAGTTCCCTAAAGTTAAGTAAGTTAAGTGAGCAATCTTCAAGCAACAACATTTGACGCACCTAGGGCGCCCTAAACAGAACCTGGCGGAGTGGCCGTAACATTGGCAGCGATGACCCTGTCCAGGGATGCCACGGCCGCGGGGAGCTCTACCTGTAAGCCGGACAGGTAGCAGACCGTTTGGATGTTGAATATGGCTTTCACCTCCTTGGTGTTGTCCAAGTGGACAAGCACCATATTGAAAGGTTTCTTATTGGTCGGGCGGTACATCCGGTGTACTGCCTGGACCGGAAAATCTTGTGACTTAAGGTCACTTAATACGGATTCGGTTGGGATCTCACACGGCATCCCGCGGATCACCACCGTAAGGCGACGCTCCTCCTCGAGTGCGTAAGTGTGGTAACCAATACCACGCTCCCGCAAGAGGGCCGTCATCCTACGGTGGTCAGCCGCTGAGGACGTCTGGATTTTAATCCCGTCTTTAGTCGGCCGGGCTGACATAAAATTTATTTTAAGTTTTATGAATAACTGGGACATATGGTCCCACTTATCCTTGTCCTTAAGGTATAGTGGCGGAGGCGCCTTATCTCGCGGTGGTGCGTCGGGAGACGCGGACGGTGAATTTACCGCGGGTTTGGGCCGCTCGCGACGGGCGCGGCGTGAGAGGGTGGGTTTGGTGTCCCTGAGGGGGACGAGGGGCGAGAGTTAACGGCGGCGGCGGGGGCGTTTGCGGGGGATTGGGGGGCGGAAACGGACGGCGTTTTGGAGGACGCTTCTTTTTTTTCTTGTCGGAAACCCGTCGTTGCCTTCGCCCTCGGGGCCAGATCGGGAGACGGACTCCGAGGCAGAGGCCTCGGCCGATGAGCACTCCATGAGGGTGTTGGGGTTGGGGAGCAAGGAATCTGAGATGAATCTCAGAACGAGCTCGGGGGCCTTCTTCTGTAATATCTAACTGCGCCTCCTTTGGCTGAAAGGCGGTCGTTCCTAATGATGTTATAGTTCCCAATCCGTGGGTTTCTACTACTCGGTTTCAAGAAGGACTCTTGTGTTAAAAGTGGTCTATCTATCTAACTTATCTATCTGGTGCTTTACTAAGAAGCGTCTCACCAGTTCTATCTGATGAGAGTGGCCGTTCGCGTTATATGTAGCGACAGTCAGAGAGCGTGGTTTGACGCGGCTAGTATCCATTAGCTCGGAATGCTCCCACGGCACTCACCAAACTCGCATACTGCCATCATGCGTGCCTGTGGATAGCCGTCTGAGGCCCTCAACTTAGCTGCGAAAGTTTGGATTTCCGCGGGGTCGAAAAGGCTCGCGAAGTCACAAACCATTTTTAAATCGGCCGCTAGTCCGACCGTTTTATTTTTTTAGGTTAGGGTTTTTTTTCTTGCTGCATCTCCCTCTGACGTGGTCAGAGACTTTTATTTGGTCTGTGCATACGATGCACCTCCAATATTGGTAGTTTTTGGGACTTAAGGTCCTCTTTTATTTCATCAATGGGAATCTCCGCGGGGAGACCCTTGATGACGACTGTTAGCCTACGCTCCTCCGGGAGGGCGTAGGTGTGGTATTCTAATTTTTGTAGTCTAAGCATCGCGGATAACGCGCGATGGTCATTCGGTGTGGCCGCGGTGACCTTAATTCCCGCCTGAGTATTACGTGCCGACACGTATTTAATCTTTTTGTCATTTAGGAGGCTGGATATGGCGTTCCAGCTCTTATTAGTTCGAATGTATAACGGCGGCGGGTATTTTGTGAATGTTTTGGGTGCGGACCCAGGTAGACCCGCAGGAGCGGTCGCAGCTGCACCGGCAGCTGCTGGGGTCAACGGTTTTTTGGTTGGCGGCGGCGCCTTTAGTGACTTGGCCGCCTTCCTTTTACCAGATTTGGTAATGACGGGTTCAAACCCGTCGTTATCCTCTTCTGCGTCTGAGGAGGACGGCTTCGAATCTGTCTCGGCTTCCGAGCCGATTGGTGAGCAATCCATGTCGCATGGATTGCTTTTTGGACAGTCCGGTGAGGCCGGGCTGTCCGTATCGAACACGGTGGGTTTTATTTCGGGGTTCACATCGGTGAACTCCTTGTACGCATCTGGGAATTTTTTAATAAAAAAAGCTAATAAGGCCTCCGATCGGCCCGAATTATGGTCGCCCATGATGGGCGACGGACTTAAGGGTAGTCCTCCCTGCAAGGCAGGGAGGTGTGTAACCTATTTGATTCTAATCTAGACCCTGTTATTAGGTAACAGGGGTGTACCTATTTCCCTAACCCCTAACGACTGTGTAAATACCTTATGAGGGTGGCAGGACAACGGCGACTATACGACGGTGACTGCTACCCTTTTCCTGATACTTCTATCGACGCCGGACACGTCGATCTTCTGACCTCTTCTGTAACTTGTTGACACGTAACACAAACACCATCGGAACACTGATTACGCACGTCTGCGCCGCGCGAATGCCCAACTGAGAGTCCTCTCTTTTCGCACATCGGGTCATCTCAGGCCCCCCTGTAGGGAGGGTCGAGGTGAGCTTGTCGGGGCAACGGCCCCCTAAGCTGGCCTCCACTCCGCCTGTAAAAACAGGCGGGTCGTTGTGGTGAGCGTTTGCAGCCCTGGTGTCTCGGGTGGGAGTGTTGCCGCGGCGAGGCGCCGCCCTGAGAGTTATCTCAGGTGGGCTGCCATCAGCCTGCGGCCGTCAGTTCAATGATGTTTGTCGGATATGGCGAGTCGATCCTCTAGCCGATATCCGACAGTTGTCGAGTCCTAGCTTCTACTCCTCGCCGCGGGAAGGAGGTCTCGCGGCAGGGCGTATCTATCCGGGGGGCGTCTGTGGTACGGGGCCAGTTCTCTGATGTGCGGGAAGCTCGATGCCTCTGACCGCCGGAACATGGCCCGACTCAGGCGGATGATGAAGTCGTCAAGGCTCTCCATGCGGAGGTCCCTGGTGATTGTAGTGTTCCGTACGAACCGAGGCGCGCCTACAAGTGTTCTCAGTGCCAGCGACTGCTGGACGCGCAGGCGTCCACGCCCGGTTTCCTTGACTAAGGAATACCAGGCGGGCGCGGCGTACGTCAAGCGCGTTCTGATATACAACTTGTAGACGGCCAGCTTGGCTCGCAGTGGGAGATTGGATCGCAGGACAGGACGCAGGAGAGCACGTGCGGCCCTCGTCTTGTTGACGACTTCCTTCACGTGGGCCTGCATTGACAGGCGGCGACCTAGCACCGCTGTGAGTCAGCGCGAATGCCCCGCCCCTTCCAAGTGACTCTACCGCCGTACGTTTATTGTTCAATAGGTTCGCTTACAGGTAACATTAAGTTTACAACAATAGACCGCGCTCTTACAAGAGACGCTCATAGAAATATATTTATATTTACACGTGTTCATTTACAATTAACATAAACATGATGCGCTCTTACAAGAGTCGCTTTCCGTAGAGCCTTTTATTTATAAACATATAATTTCTATATAAATATTAACCTTATTTCACTTAACATTTATATCTCTTATATTTTTAATCTAATTATTAACTACTAAATATTAGCTTCGTCGCCGACACTTGGTCTGTGAGTCGGTACGAGTGGGTAGCGAGTTGGAGTCAATGGGGCTAAGAGCGTGAAGTCGAAATCGGGTCTGTATGTCAGTCGGTTGAGTATATGACCGCTTCTATTACTGATGGACCCTGCGGAGTTCCAGCGTGGGTGTTTAGCATTGAAATCGCCTGCCAGAAGGGTGGCGTTTCCCAATGAGAGTAACGTTTTAATGTCGTTCTCGTCGATGGTAGATTACTGGGGCGATAAACTGAGGCAAGTATGACGGGCTGATGGCCCGTAATTTCTTGTTCCGGATCGCTAAGCACGTGCTTGTGGGACTCCACTCCAGACTCCAGTCTCCTAACATCCTCATGTATATATTTGGGAGGTAGGTCATCACTTCCTTCACCAGAGGATTGGGATAGTGGTACCACGGGGCGCCCGTGATCGTGAATAGGAAGCAGTTATAGAGAGTCTGAAGGGGTTTCAGAATCCGATGAGCGAATGCTACGCTAGCGTAGGACCAACACCAATCTTGTGCAAGTTTTACACGTACAAACACTTCGAACTTCTCACTAACATCCATCCGTTTTACACGTTCTATTTAATATAATATGTTTATTTAAATTTAAGATGCAATATGATTTTTCGTAAAATAAATAAATATAAATGTATATAGCTTACATTGATGTTGAGATGTTTAAATTCACTATAGCCTTTAAGACATGTATGTGTACAGAAATATATCATAATTGTCATTTCTCTTTCATCCTTAATTATCATATACATGTAGTTAGGTGAACTAGTAAATTAAGACTGTACAAGGAAAATTGCTCCACTTTCATAACTGTAATAATGTAATAACAAGACTAAATGCAGACTTTTTCATCTCGTCTGTTCGTGATTACTGCTACTAAAGAGAAGCCGAAACGTCTGTTAATATGTAAAATATCAAAATAAATATGTTGTAAATCCAAGTCTTAGTTTCATTTAAACAGAACTATATATTCATTGGCTAAGTGATTGGTAACAAAGCCATCTATTGAGTAATTTCTTTGTATTCTAATTTATTCTAGGACTGTTCATTGATAACTATACAAGATACAAACATATTAAACCCCTCAGTATATTTAATTTCATCAACATTGTTATAGCCCTGTCCCTGACACACAATTTTTAAATTTATGTAACCGATACCGTAGACAACAACACAATAAGATATTTGTACATATATAACATATATTCTCACCAAAAGAGGTGATCCTAAGCTTTAGCATCTATTTCTCTATTACTAATACTAAACACGAAGATAAATACCTAATTGGTTTTTAGTTTCAAGCCAGACACGTGTGTACATTTTTAAATGAAACTTTAGTTTTTCTGTATATATGTAAATCTAGTACAGTCACAACAATATTGTTGAGCTAGAGATGCTGATCGGAGTCCTGAATGGATGTCTTAAAGACTTTGAAATGATTAGTTTATGAGTAAAACTGATATTACATGCTAATGAAATCATGTTTGATAGATTATATTCTAGAAGTCGATTATATTAATTTTATAATAAACTCTAGTTACAATACACAACGGCCTTTTTAAGGAGAATAATTAAAACGATATTTTTTTCGTAAGCCTCTTCTTAATAATTACATTTTAGTTTCTACTTCACTGTAACTGTTGGCTTTGAGTGTTGACAGTGTCACTAGGAGGAGTGGTTGACCTACCAGTTATATACGGGCCCTTCGGGTCTGTAATTAAGGAGTAGGCCCGTCCCAAGAGCGCCTCATCAAGACATCGTTGTAGTTATTTGTTTTGTAACACTTGCAGTTTGTTTATTGTTGAGGGACGAGCGTGGGTGAAGCACGCGCATGCAACGACGTGACAGGAAGTATGCTGGTCTTGTAAAACTAACTTTATCACTTTCAGTATAAAAAATAGTTCACAACCCAAAACAAATTTTCGTGTAAAAATTCATAATTGTAATAAAGTAAGAGGTAATAACTGCAATTGTCCATTAATAAATAAAGTGAGTCAAATAAAATACTTGGGAATAATGGTCGACCAGAACTTGTCATGGTACCTGCAAATTGAACATGTTGCGGCGCGCATTAGGAAGTTCACGTGGATGTTCAAATCACTGAGACATATTGCAGCTAATAATATTGTAAATAACTCCTCAAACAATCTTTAAAATCAAATTTATATAGCTTTGGTGCAATCCATAATAACATACTGGTTACCTACTTGGGGAGGTGCACGTAAAACACGATTCATGGAAATTGAACGAGCTCAAAGAGCATTGATTAAAGTAATGTTCTTTAAAAAACAACGGTTCAGTACAGAAAGACTCTATAAAAAAAGTGGTTTGTTAACTGTACGGAAATTGTATACGATATATCGTTACTCAATAAACGTATAGCATATAATGTCATATCTCTCCCTGCTACTAAAACAGTCTTCGCTATGATTCAGTATTATAATAGATCTGCTTATTTATATAATAAAATAAATAAATACGTTGTTATATATTCAAAACACAAATGCGCACGCGCACGCATGCATACACATACATTTTAATCCCACATTTGCTTCCTTTATGGTAATTACTTCTCTTATTATTACTTTTTTATATTATTTCTTTATTATTGTTGTACCATAAATATCTTGTATACTTGTACCTAATTCGTGATATGGAACAGCGGAGTTTCCTGGCACAGGCTTTTCATATGCTTAAAAGGAGACTCCTATAACTTTATATTTAAGTACAAATTTGTTAAAGAAAATAAAGAATTTTTATTTTTTATTTATTATTATTGTATAGTGTGATGTTATTACTAAGGGACATTAGACTTGTCAGCATCAGAACTAAACAGCAGGGAACAAATCTGGGGGTTGTTGTATGTATCATTAAAATGTTATCAACTTCATACTCCTCTCATCTTAACTCTTTGAGCAAACGCATTATTATAGGAAGCTGTAGGTGTGTTTTAGACTACTGAACTAATTTAACCTTTAATAATCGTCTTGTGTCGTGAATAAATAATAGAAAAGTTGTATTGTTTATATAAATGATAAAGGAGATTGTCCACTTAGTATGGGGACTTTGGCCCGTCGTGAACAGACATTTTATCATACTCTTTGTAATTAGTTTAAAAGCACTAACTAGTAATATTGAGAATATGAACTTAGTTTTGTATCAAAATGTTTAAAAGGAGATATTTATCATGTGATGAAAAACAGGTTAAAGCGAAATAAAACAACATTTTTTATGATTTATTTTTATTCTGAGACATCATATGTTATTAATATGTGTTCAAGACATTGGGCAGATGGTGAAATGTATTCCTGACACCTTGCCCAACTTAAAAACCATAAAATAGTAACTATATGAGCACAGGAACCCACTGTCCTTCGGCCAAGCATGCAATTACAATAATTTTCTTTTGTAGCTTCCTTACCATTGTGATTATTTTAGTTAGTGATGCAGATAGTTTATGGTTAAAGATCTTTATTCTCATAAGAACATACATAGGTTCACTTACATGAGATTAAATAATGTTACACACATACATTAATATTTGATACATGGAATGGCTAGTACTACTTAATATTGTCTAATATATATATACATATATTTTAAGTTTACTTTTAAAAGCATTTAAACATTGACATTCCTTTATGTAGTTTGGCCAATCATTATTTACTCCATCAAAACATATATTTTTGTGTCCATAATTTAAGGTTTCGACTTTAGGTAACTCAAGTTTATGTTTGTTTCTTAAGTTATGCTTGTTTGATTTTTGTGTAAATGTTGTTTGAAACTTTTAGATAGTATCTTTTTAATTAAAATACATGTGTTAAAATATATGTTTGATTTAAGTTGAATATTTTTGATTTTTTGTACAGTTCTATCGCCGGTAAGAAAAAGTACTTTTATAATTTTGTTCTGCGTAATTTGTAAGACTTTAAGATTAAACTTTGAAGCTGACCCCCATATTTCAATTAAGTAACCAATGTGTGGTTTTATCAGGGAATTGTAGACAACACTTCGCACTTTTTTGGTATACAATTATTAGATCTTCGGAGTGCTCCTACAAGCGATGAGTTTTGATCTGATATGCTCAATGTGTGGTTTCCATGTCAGTTTATCGTC